ATCAATTTGTGCTTTAATTTAAATATTTTGTCCAAATTAAAATTTCATATTATTAATAATTACAATCTGACTTATTATTAAAATGGAAAAAAACAAAAAATTAAATTAAATAGTGCAAAATTGTTAATGATACGTTTATTTTTAGTTGAATAATCACAAATTAATTACACTACTTTATAAAATATACAAATAAAATAATACATTTTTTTAGTATTTTGTGAATAGTGTCATAGAGCAAAGCCCACGCCATATTTGATGTTTTACCGTCCGCTTGGAGTTGCTCTAAGGGATTGCAATTTAAACCAAAAACATTGATTAACACTACAAAAGTACAAATTCAATTGGACACACTCACAGTAAACGTAACAAAATCACAAACGCCCACTCACTCATTCGTATAGTTAACGTACCAGACATCACATAATATAAAACTCTGTTATCTAATAAAGAACCTAAATAAGGCATCAAATCTAATTGGCTTATTATAATGAACATAGAGTGATGAGATAAATGCAACACGCTCTGTTTCTGCCATTTGTTCCTCAAGAAATTACTCAAAAAATGCAACAGTGTTCTTTTCTGCATTATTGGGTAAGCAGATGATAAATCCATTGCTTGCTCGGAAGAAAAGAAAAAAAGACAAAATAATATCTCTCTTGACCTTCCAGAGAATCCTGTCTTGAAATGATAACACACAAAAACAACCTGAGATGAGAATTAATGCTGAGTAGTCGGAACCTTGTTGGCTTTACCCGGTAAGACATTGTCGGGAAGAATTAACTCGGATGGAGTTTCACGGACAATCCCAAGCATTGAATCATAATCCTCATCCTTGCGTGCATACTTCTTCCTAAGCGCCTTCTCAACCTCAATCTCATCAAATGACTTTGAATTCTCTGCGGCATGAATCTGTGCGAGATTCATGTAGTTCTCTGCTGACTGTGAGATATATGCTATCTCTTCATCTGTTAACTTCCTCATGAACTTTGCCGGATTTCCTCCCCACACCTGCCACATGAACCGCTAACTTGTAAATATATTCTCAACGAGCAAAAACACAAGAAATCCGTTTAATTCCTCATCAGATAGATGGAAACACAAAGAAAACGCTCTACTACTCCACTCGCCCCTTGTTTCAGATACATGTCGAATTGCAACAGAGGCCAAATGTGGTTTCCAGATGTAGACAAATAAAAGATTATCTATAGGCATAGCATTTAAGTATGCAACAGTGTATCTAAGAAAAAAACACAGTGGGGTGTACTTGAAAAAGTTCAGCTGGTCAAGCATTGGCTATAAGTCTGCTATAACTAGCCTACAACTGAATGCAGCAGATTATAGTTTGTGTGACTTGGCAGAATGTTTTGAGTAAAAAGTATTGTGGTGGTTTGGGGATTTTAAGACTTGGGAGAGTTTATGCGTTCTCT